CATAAGGCCCGCGAGAATGCAGACAACATATGATTCCTATACTTCCATTCAATGACAACTGAAACCATTGATGCGATGATTGAGATGATGAGGAGAGTGTGCACATGAATGTCCAGTGAAGTCCTTTCGATTACAAAGTATAGCAATTAGTTTTTAAATAAGATTTATTTGAATCAATCAAACCTTCCGTGCAAATGGAAACAGAAGAGAAGTGTCTCGACAGCCGTCGCTATAAATAGAGACATATAATCGGAGCCATTTGGCAACGGATAGCCATTATATACTGAGAGGTCGACTACACCTAATTTGTAGGAATGTCCATCAATATTAATTACTTTCAATTAAATTAGTTAGTAATTAATTAATATTTAAATGTAGTATCATTTCATTTTAATAATGAATTCTTAAATCACTTTTGATGGATTTTAAAAATCAATATTGTCCTGGAACATTATCCGGGACACTACAGGTGTTAGCCCAGACTAAACTGTGTATAACCGCACCAACGCTTACCATTAATGAGAAAAAATAGATACATGGTCATGTGTTGTGAATTTCCTGTAATTATAAATTAATTTATCGTAAAATAGTTTAAAGTAAATTATATAAATGACAGCACAAACCAATATTAACAAATTCATAATTATTATCCAAAGCCGTCCAATATTCACAAATGATACCAATAATAGAACTGATAATCTGATGATTAAAAAATTATATAAATTAAGTGTAAATGAAGTATTTCAATTTACTTAAATTAAATATAAAATTAATTTTGTATTTTCTGTTTCATGAATAAAAAGTTTATAAATATATCAAAAGAAAATTGTTTGTAAAACCTTAACGATTCCTTCAATTCTTGAATAACTGGCCGTACATTCAAAATCTTTTGGGATTTTAGTGAGAGTCGAGTCGACGAGAATCTTGAAATAGCGGTCAAAGAGAGCATATGTCCACCAGAAGCCGAAAACTATGAAAAACGTGCCAGGTAACAAATGACCCTCAAGTGATCCCATATTGGTTTTGAATCCAATCAATACATTCACTTTAAAAAGCAATAATAATATAAATTGTTTTTGATTATTATTAAGAGAATAATAATAATTCATAGCTCTATGTATTTCAGGGAGAGTTACCTAACATTCAATAAAGTTCTAGCAGTTTAAAAACTCTATATTTCACATATAAATAAAAATTAACATTTGTTACTATATTAGATTGGAGTTGAATTATTTTTGAAATTTATAGCTTATATTGTACATACTTATTTTAAAAATTATCAATATTATTTGATATTTTTTGATTGTGATGTTTGACAATTTTAAATTAACATTTTTAATTAACACGACAAATTTTAATTGTCGTTATAAAAACATATCATTATTATAAAAACATACCATTATTATAAAAACATATCATTAGTTAAACAGTTTGATTTGTCAAATCAATAATTATTGTAATTTTTCAAAGAAAACATATTTTATATAAAATAAGTTTTATGTTAATCCTTTGATGATTTACATGACTAGTTTAAGTGGTATTATTTAAATAAATGGTTTCTATCTTGAAATTAGAATTTCATATATAATAAATGATGAGGGTAAAATGATCCATAAAATGTGATACAAGTAAATTGATTAAATTTATTATTGACACTTAAAACGAGACATCAATTAAAGTCAGATCTGATTAAATGATTTCATTGAAGAGCATCACTAAACTGAATAATTTTGTGACATCACATTTGACTGGTATTTAAACATCACTAATACAATCTTTAATTTAATTTAATATTTAAATTAATTGTTTTATTATCAAATGCTTGTGAAAGTATGGTTTAAATAAGCAATATAATGAGATAAAAAGGCGATTATTATATAATTTAAAATGAATATTAGTTTATTAAATTGATATTCTCTTATTTAATATTTCTTGATGATTTTTATAATGAAAACTCATTTTTATCGATTTGTATAATTTATTAAAAGCAAAATGAGTAGTGAATTTGATTTAAGTATAAAATGATTGGTGTTTTAAAAGTAATGAAAAATAATAAGCGCTTATTTATGTTATAGATCTATGTTTAAAGCGATGCGTCTAACAGTTTGGTTGCAAAATGCCATTAATCATGAAATAGTTGTTTAATTTATCATTCACTCTAAATCTGTTTATTGAATACATTTTATATACAATTAATTACAAGAACAAAATTAATTTAAATTTTAAAATATAAAAATAAAAGTTTAATCATTCATACGCTCGGAGATTTATTCAAATAATTAAATACTATATTATATAATAATTATAAGTCTGAAGTATTATTACTATATAATTGTCTGCAATAATTAATTTGTTCATAAACTCTACCTATTCTTTGATAAAGCATTTGTATGCTATGTTGTGGAAGGAACGGAAGGGAATGGTATGCTTTCTCGTCCAATACTAATCGCTTGAATAGAGATTTAATTAAATAAATAATATCTTTATTTCTATACAACTGTTCCACTCGTTTAGCAGTTCTTTCGCGAAATATACACAAAGCACTCAATACTGACAAGTGTTGGCTCTCATACTTGTTGAGGAGGCGATACCCGTGCAAAAGACCCGACTCATTGTCTATGAATAATAATAATCCAGATCCTTTCACTTTTAACAGGTTGTGCGCCGGGTTGAGCATCATCTCTGGGTTCCACTCCGAGTTCACCATATTATTCACAATTCGGTCGGAATTTGCCGTCAAATAGTCAAAGACTATGAGATCAGACCACTGGACCAGTTCTGTCAGTTCACTCACATTCAAAGCACTGAGATCTTCGGGCACTGGATGTAAGCGTTTGTTCGCACTGGCCAACTGGTAGGGTATATAAGCGGGCACTAAATCACTGACATATTGAGTCAACACAATAGGTCTGGTATCCCAATGGGACGAAACTATTTGCTTTGTCACACCGAACCATTGCGGGTCCGATGACTGAGACACAGGTGTGGTAATCATGTCTATTGTGGTCGGCGGCAGATTAGAGATGCCTAACACTCGGCCCAAATAGAAGCTGAAGAGTTCGCCCTGAATCTGATCCAAGTTTGGTCGGTATCGGACGCATGACTGTTGTCCGTTGCTTAGAGTGATGAGTCGGTTCTGCTGTCGACCGCATCCCTCAACCATTTCCTCAACATCTGAAGAGTTAATCAAATGAGACCATCGATTGTCATCGAATGGTGTGAATCCTTTTGGAGTGACTTTTTCCAACTGTTTGCTCCAATAAATGCCTTTTGAGATAATATTGAACGTGTAGTTGGAATCGAAACAAATACATAGAAGCAATGAAAGCACAGGTATTATAGTAAGAGAAGGCATAATATAATTATGATTTGCCAATTGAAAGCTGTTCACTGCTATGGCTTCAGGTGTATTGAGTGCAACAAATTATCCTAAATTACAGGTTAACAAACAAAATACTATTATTTAACCGCAGATGAATAGTATTCACTGACAGCCAAAACATTGCCACCACTTTTCATGTTAATGTTTGTTATCAATCGATTTAGCATTCATTACATTGAAACTATTAAAATAAAGTGTTTTCTCAACTTTTTATCTCTTCAACACAACAAACGCAACACTTTTACACACTTTTCGCAGACTATTCTCGACGGTCTGCACTTGCGGTCACACACTCTATATTAGCTGTTTGTGCCCTTCAATGCACTTACTATTCACCACTATCAAGACTATACACATCTACAGACAGTCGAGTCCACACCACCACTCCATCCAACCAACTCTTATCCAACCATCACTTCTACGCAAGACTACTCTCTCCCGTTCCTCCAGTCTCTCCCCGGTCTCTCTCTCTCTCTCTCTCTCTCTCTCTCACTTTGGGATACTTTAGAATGCATTCTGCATACTGGAGACTGGAGTGCATAGTGTGGTGCCTGTGCTCTGGTACTGTATAAGGAGTGATGGTAGGAATGGTAGGACTGGAACATAACTACTTGTTTGATCACTTGCACAGGTAGGCATATTGTATACGGTATACTGTAGTTAAGAAAGACATGAAACACATGCAAACGTGAATACACTACTGAATACTGAATCTAAAGGCCATACCTTAAGACCATAGGAGAGCCCCAACAATAATAAGCCTTGAGTTGAATTTTGTTGCTTACAAAGTATGCTCAGAGGGAGTGATCATTGCTTTAAACTAAAGTATTTGACTTTGATTTTGAAGCCAATCTCAGCGTTTAAGACATACAGAGAGGCTCTAAAGCCGAACAGAGAGTCAACACTGGAATACACTTCACAACCGACCCTCACATTCACAAGCATTCACTCGCTTTCACTTAACAATTCAATACATTTCTCCAAAAACTTCACTACTTTTTAGGTATAATAAAGTTTTTTAAACTTTTCACTTTTGTGTGTCTTTCTTAGAATTCAAATATTAATATATTATTCCAATAGCTTTATTCAAATCGTTTCAATTGAATTGCTTTGTCTCTGCTTACGGTTGCCCTCAAAATAATCACAAATTTCTAATAAAGTATAAAACTAAATATAATTTTCTGACTAAATGTTAATTAAATAAAATTAAAATAAATTACTTTAACGCAAACTAAAAATAAACTACTTTTGCTCATGCATTTAAATACCAAACTATTCAAACTATTGATACATAATTTTTATTGGAATTAATTTAAGAAATTTTTAAATTAGTTAAGTTATATAGTGTTAATTTGCAATAGATATAATGGTAACAAAAAATATGTTTAAGAAATATGTATTTAAATGACATTTTATACATTTCTTTTTAAATTTCTTCGTCCGAAGTACTGATCGCTGAATATTTAAATTCATTGACCGATTCAATCGACTGAATAGAAAACTGCTTTTCGTTTAGTTCTTCCAATTTGGTATCTTTTGAGTGATTTGCAGTCAAATGATTATTAGCGTGAAAGTTGTGAAAGTTTTTGTTTTTAAGAATGGGACGGTATTTGTAATAAACACAAAACCCGATAAATACCATCAAAGCTATGATTACAGCGATTTGCCAACAAAACAGAGCCTATAATTAATATTTAACCTGTATACATTTAAATCACAAATAGTATTATTGTAATTAAACTTACAGTTATAAGCATTTGTTTTCGATGGCTCTCCTCTATTGGTCCGCTAGAGAACGGCGGGTATAATATAAAGCCAACCTAACAGTGCAATTAACAGGGCAAATTAAATAATTACTTTGAATGGAAACTAAAATTTCAACAAAAGGTGGTCCAGATTCTCGTGTGATTACAGAATGAACTTTTATTTGAAAGTGTGGGTCAGTTAGTGAATTTGAAAGAAAACAGATGCACATTGAACTAATTGGACCAGGTGCTACAGCTAATGCAATGGCCACACTAAATAAACGTGAGTTTGTGTTATAAGTAAACAAGAAAAAGGTTTTGTAATCATAGGAACTTCGGAAGAATCTTTCAAAAAGATTTGTTGTTTGCAAGTTTGATGTAAGAAAGTGTTGTATTGTGTGTTTGACTGATAGTAACAAACCGTATAAAACCAAAATCCCTGCATTAGAGCACATAAGGCCCGCGAGAATGCAGACAACATATGATTCCTATACTTCCATTCAATGACAACTGAAACCATTGATGCGATGATTGAGATGATGAGGAGAGTGTGCACATGAATGTCCAGTGAAGTCCTTTAGTATAGTATAGCAATTAGTAATAGCAATACTAGCAATAGTATAGTATAGTATAACAAAGTATAGCAATTAGTTTTTAAATAAGATTTATTTGAATGAATCAAACCTTCCGTGCAAATGGAAACAGAAGAGAAGTGTCTCGACAGCCGTCGCTATAAATAGAGACATGTAATCGGAACCATTTGGCAACGGATAGCCATTGTATACTGAGAGGTCAACTACACCTAATTTGTAGGAATGTCCATCAATATTAATTACTTTCAATTAAATTAGTTAGTAATTAATTAATTCTTAAATGTAGTATCATTTCATTTGAATAATGAATTCTTAAATCACTTTTGATGGATTTTAAAAATCAATATTGTCCTGGAACATTATCCGGGACACTACAGGTGTTAGCCCAGACTAAACTGTGTATAGCCGCACCAACGCTTACCATTAATGAGAAAAAATATATACATGGTCATGTGTTGTGAATTGCCTGTAATTATAAATTAATTTATCGTAAAATAGTTTAAAGTAAATTATATAAATGACAGCACAAACCAATATTAACAAATTCATAATTCTTATCCAAAGCCGTCCAATACTCACAAACGATACCAATAATAGAACTGATAATCTGATGATTAAAAATTATATAAATTAAGTGTAAATGAAATATCTCAATTTACTTAAATTAAATATAAAATTAATTTTCTATTTTCTGTTTCATGACTAAAAAGTTTATTAAATAAATCAAAAGAGAATTGTTTGTAAAACCTTAACGAATCCTTCAATTCTTGAATAACTGGCCGTACATTCAAAATCTTTTGGGATTTTAGTGAGAGTCGAGTCGACGAGAACTTTGAAATAGCGGTCAAACAGAGCATATGTCCACCAGAAGCCGAAAACTATGAAAAACGTGCCAGGTAACAAATGACCCTCAAGTGATCCCATATTGGTTTTGAATCCAATCAATACATTCACTTTAAAAAGCAATAATAATATAACTTTTATAACTTAATAAAAATATTTAAACGTAATGCTATCATAATCTCATATTAAATTGATGTGATCTATATTCTCATTGAATTAAAATATACTGTATGGAGATATTTAGAAAAAAAATAATTATTTTTATTTGCACTACAATTTCGTTAGTCATAAAACTCATTAATTGGTCAAATTACACAAATATTCAATAATGAGTCGTTAATAATGACAATGACTTTAATAATTGAATAAAGTTCTTATAAGTAATATTATAATTGAATAAAAGTATTAAGTCATTGTATTGATTAACTATAATTTTTAAGTCGATTTTTTGTGGATTTCTAAATATTGCATAAAATGATAGTCACAAATATATTTTCATTGCTAATACCTGTATATGACATTTTTATAGATTTTAATAATTAATGAAATTAATGACTTAGTTTTATGGAAAAAATAAAAAACAATTGTCTAGAATAAAATAATATTCTATACTACATTTTTTTATCGATTTTGTAATTTGTTTGTAATTAAAAGTAAAATAAATTTAAAAACTTATTTAAAATTGCTCGAATATTTGAGATAATTTTAAATTTAGAACTTCATTATTGTGTTATGGTTATAAATAATTAGCAATACAATTGTAATAATAATATTATAGTGTAATAAAATTTTAGTTATAAAACCAGTTGAAATTCCTTTAATTGAGATTTATATGATAAATAAATAAAAGATTAAATATCAGAAAAATATCACTATTTGCATTAAAACATACATTCAAACTATGAACCACATTCATGGTAGTAATAATAAGTGGAGTATACAAATTATTTTTTATCAGGAATACTATTCCTTGAATTGTATTCTTTGAATGATACAATTGATTCACCAAACACAATTAATACAATTTGAGAAAATATTTATAAATTAAAAAAGCACTCAAAACCAGATTATTATTTTGTTTTTAAAAAATTGTTGACAAACTTATTACAAATTAAATAAACAAAATATTACACAGTATATACTGAAACGATAAGTACTGTATTTTAATGAATGCGAAATGCAATTAAAACCATATTTTGCGGTTTTCTCCAATAACTTAAATTCTTGAAAGACTCATCACTACATTTACATTTGAATCATTCAAATTGTATACAGAAAATAAGTTATACTTATAATAAATCTGTTTAAGGATTAGGGTTAATGTATGCATTCACTCATTGCTTCATAATATATGATTCCTTACAAACATTTATTTGTCATGATGCTTAATACTTGTATACAATTTATTATAATTTAAATATAAATGAAACATTTATATTTTAACTTGAAAACATGTATTATAGTATAATAATTATACTCAGAAATATACAACCACCGTGTCTGGTGACCCTGATTATAGCTCCAGACATCAGAATATTTGTATTACCGCATATGCAAAATAGAAATTATATTAAAACTATTAAAATAGATATAATTTTGTAAATAGAAATTGAAATTTGTCATTAAATGGCAATGTTTTTAGATTATTATTTAATGAAATTGTATAAAATTGTATAAAACTGATGTCATGTCATTAAATACTGTTGTTTTATGCAGCTTTTACATGTAATTTAGTGATAATAGTACTTTTGCATTATTTTTAAATTGTATAAACAAATTCCTACAAAACTTATTTTACATAACTTAATGCTAAGGTTGGCATTTTCAGTGAAATTTATTTTTCGTGAAATATTTCAGTGAAATATTTAACTTTTAGGTGAAATTTATTTTTAATGTATAAAAGCATTGGATTTACATATCAATAAATTCAATATCAGAATCAGAGTTATATTCCTGAATATCAAGATCAGTATTACTAATATCAGAGTCATCAGAATCGGAAAAATTATTATTCTGTATAGGGGCCATTCAATAAGTACGTGCGCACGGGGTGGGGGAGGGGGACCCTAAGTGAAATTTATTGAAATTTATTTTCAAGTGAAATATTTTAGTTAAATTTATGAAATATTTCACTACTGCCAACCTTACTTAATGCACATTGTCATCATAATAAATACTGTACAGTTTTTTATTTAACTAATTAAAATATCTATCATTCTACAGTATTTTATAATTAAATTCTAATT